AGATGTTCAAGATTAAAGGGTCTAAATGTTCAAAACGAACGCTTCTGTATGTATTCGTGCCAGGGAATTCCCAGGGGTTTCCCCAGGAATGTGGATGTAGTCAGTCAGTGTTTACGTCATTTCAAGAACATCGTCTCGTGAAAATCGTATGAATATGATATATACGCAAAATTATGAGATATATGCTGATATTAGTTTTGAGTTATAGCTGTATGATAATAATGAACGAATAGGGAACGCATTAATTTACAATCTTAAAGGACTATATGTATAAGATGAGAAATTTCAATGTTAACGTTTTTGGATCACTAGCGCGTAATATCTCACTCGTCGAGGCATACTGCGTATGAGTCTCCCAATGGTGATTTGAGGGAGTCTGGGTACAATGTGTGAAGCCCATTTCTGGTGTCCCCCGTCGTGATATTGCTGGAATATTGCTAAAAGCGACGTTAAACAATACTCACTCACTCACTCACTTTGAGGGAGTCTGTCCCTCACCTCTTGCAGCGTCTTGCCAACTTTAGCCAACGTGGTCGACGACCTATGACGTTGAGGCTCCCGACTCCGTATCATGTCTCAGACGTGTTCAACGGGGGAAAGGTCAGGGCCGCTCATTGGATGTTGTGGGGCTTGAGGTGAACGTTGACGATTCGTGTACGGTGAACACAGGCGTTGTCGTCCTGAAAGACAAACCCTCGGCCTACACGCCTTGCAAACAGAATAAACAAAGGGTGTCAGTGTGTTGTCCCGATAGTACCGTCTGTGACACTTCCTTGCACATTAGGGGGCACGGGGGGCCCAGTCGTCTAAGGCGCCCCGATTCGCTGTGCAGAGTTGCGTCCCTTGGGCGAGCCAGAAACCTATGATTGTAGGTTCGAATCCCGGTTCGCCCCGAATATGTTTCTAGGTTTGTCAGCACCATACCCGTACTCGTGGGTTTCACTGAAGTGGTAAACGTCTGAGACCTGCATCACTTGGGGCTTTCCTCCCACATTAAGCTGACACGCCGTGATATAACTGGAATACTGTTAAAAGCGGCGTTAAACACAACTCACTCACTCCTTGGTGTGGGGTTCGCCCAGTTATAGTGATATTCATAACCGATCCACCGACAATTCTGTCATGGTTGACGTTTGCTTGACGTTCATTTCGACGTCACCAGACACTACAAGGACAACTCCTATCAAGTTTGAACTCGATTTCGTCGAGCCTGGTTTCAGATCAATCGATCTTGCACTCTTGTCGTTGACCTAAGACGCCCTAAATAGGGTCAATCATCAACATGGTGGGTCTATATTGACGGCGGTCTGTAAGTAATCTAGTCTTGACCAGACAATCCAGTGACTGACATCATGAGCATCGATCTCCGCAATTGGGATACGATGACATGCATCAACCAAGTAAGCGAGTCTGACCACCCAATCCCGTTAGTCGCCTCGACAAGTATAGTCACCTTTTATAGTAAATCACAACTGTACAATTTTTTTTAAGAGTATAATATTTCGCGGGGACGGAGAATAGTGTTCGAGGTCTTATGCTTCACTTAATAATATATCTGCTGCATCACATTTCCCTTTAATTGGTGCCAATAGTTGATGGCATGATGAAGTTCCATGCAGGCACATTCTGGCCAACTGATCATCAGTTTAGTCAGCTTCCAGTCGGGACTGGTCATTCCCAGGCGTTGAAATTTTATACTTACTTGAACTGGGTAGATGTTTCTGCCATAAAATCAAAAACATTAATCTATGTTTCGACGAAAGGTCGAGACTGGTTATTTGCTGGCCGTGAAGGTATATATTTGACAAAGACTCTTGGGACATACTCGTATTTGTTCGCAATCCCCGCAGACGAAAAGGGGAAAAATTCGTTTCAGACTGTGTGCTTGTCATAAAGCTTAAATAAATTCATATTTTTTTATAAAGTTTTCAATTTTCACAAACAAGGAAATGGATGAAAAAAACATAATTCGATTATCGTTGAAACATTTTTATTCAAGTATGACATAAACAAGAAATGACAAACAAGAACATTATGCGTACTAACGTCCATTGTAAAAAGAAATAAACATTTCTCGTAAATATATCGTACATAAAAGTATATATTATGAGAACAATATCTCGAACTAGTACCGAAAAATTCATGAATTCATTAAATGGAATAATGTAACTTACTGAATAAAAGGAAGAAATAATAAAAAAGCCCCATAAACAGTACCGTATGATGACACTCGGTAATGACAGAAAAGGTACAGGTGATCGACGTGATGATTGTGTGAATATGCAGGAAATATCCACCTGTGCATAAAATGGACCTGTCCGACATTGCCGAGGTCGGATTCTATTGAGTCATCATTATTAAGATACGGGTAAATATTTTTAAAGCTTGTACATTTTATCATCGTCATTAACAAGGCGTAGATAATGTTAATCTCATATAAGAAATAAAAGACGATTGAGAGTTGTTAATCGTTCAATAAAACACTGAAAATAGAATAAACCACACGGGGCCACTCCACGGGCAGACGTTGTATCCACTAGACCAGGGAGGCGGTCTCAAGACAGACGTTCAATCAACTAAGCCACGGAGGCGGTCTTCGGACAGACGTTGTATCCATTAGACCACGGAGGCGGTCTCCGGACAGACATTCTATCCACTAAGCCACGGAGGCGGTCTCTGGACAGACGTTGTATCCTATAGACCACGGAGACGGTCTCCGGGCAGACGTTCTATCCACAAAGCCAAGGGGGCGGTCTCTGGACAGACGTTGTATCCACTAGACCACGGAGTCGGTCTCCGGACAGACGTTGTATCTACTAGACCACGGAGTCGGTCTCCGGACAGACGTTGTATTTACTAGACCACGGATGCGGTCTCCGGACAGACGTTGTATCCACAAGACCAAGGATATGGTCTCCCGAAAGACGTTCTGTCCACTAGACCACGGAGGCGGTCTCAGGACAGACGTTGTATCCACTAGACCACGGAGGTGGTCTCTGAGCAGACGTTATATCCACTAGACCACGGAGTCGGTCTCCGGACAGACGTTGTATCCACTAGACCACGAAGGTGGTCTCATGACAAACGTTCCATCCACTAGACCACGAAGGTGGTCTCAGGACAGACGTTGTATCCACTAGACCACGGAGGTGGTCTCTGGGCAGACGTTCTATCCGGTAGACCACAGAGGCGGTCTCCGGACAGACGTTGTATCCACTAGTCTATGGAGGCGGTCTCCGGACAGACGTTGTATCCATATAGACCACGAAGACGGTCTCCGGACAGACGTTGTATCCACTAGAGCCCGAAGACGGTCTCCGGACAGACGTTATATCCACTAGACCACGGAGGCGGTATTCTACCTTTATGACGGTGGTATGTAAATAATCGAGTATGGACCAGACAATCCAGTGATTAACATCATGAGCATCGATCCACGCAATTGGGATACGATGACATGCATCAACCAAGGCAGCGAGCCTGACCACCCGATCCCGTTAGTTGCCTCTTACGACAAGCAAAAGACCTATTCTACCCGGGATCTTCACGGGTCGAGATGATAAATGAATTTATCATATAATGGGTAGGTTTCTCGGCAGGATAAAGCCAACGGATAAAAACGATATCCGTTGGGATCATATGCGGATAGAGATGCAAATCCAAAAGGTCAAGTAGGGACTACTTTCACTGTTTATAAACAACGGCGATCGAGTCAGAATCAACCATCGGGGAACCTGAATAAATTACAGGGATAATTGCTATCATTATCAAAAGAACAGTCTAATATACTGAAAATCAGTCTCTAACTGTGACGTAGCTAAGGCATTTTATAAGTTTGGGACACTTTAGAGATAAAAAATTCGAAACAATTTTGCGAGGGCACGAGGCCTAGCCAAGCGGGATCAGTAGCCATATCTGTGCGTGTAGACCTCTGCGGCTTGAAACCGTCTCCACAAATTAAAATAGTTGGATTTGTCCGAAATATGTTTGAATTGTTACCTTGTTTGGTTTTGTCGATGTGTGTACATCTGACTACACTTCGTAACGTTATGACATCACAGACCGACTGTCAACAACGACTGACCGTGGCCGTGACGTCTCATTGACAAAGGGCAGTTACTCTAGCGGAGAGACAGATGGATTGCCGCGAAAGGTAATTAAAAACAATTGTTGTTTTGCGTATATGTTGCTTCGCCACTGTATAAGAAACAGATTTCAGTTGGAACTATATTGGCTAATGTCACTGTCCGACTGACACATTACTTACCCTGTGACGTACTAAATATTAATGCGCGGATTCCAGAAAATCTCGCAATGTTTTGTTATGTATGTGAGAGAGGGAAAGCGATTTTGAAGCACAGAATTAAAGAATGACTTTATATGATAAAGAGGTTATCACGCTTGTGTGTTTGGGGATGGTATTAAACAAATTTCCGGATAAAACGAAGTAGTGATTGTATATGTTGACATAGGCCCCGGATTATAGGATATGATCCTCTGGATCTTTGTACACGTGAAAATATCTCTGGAGGTACTCCTTAAGTTGAGGTTTCCGGATTAAAGGAGTCCGGAATAAAGGATTAAAAGGACCAGGGATGTTATTGACAATGTTAACATTTTCTTGGTATCTGTCAGAAATATCTGAAATCATTAAATGAGTAACATGTAATATCGAGTTTTATGCAATCAAGTGAGTGGGTGAGTCGGGTTTAACGCTGCTTTTAAAATTGTTCCAGTTATATCGCGGCGTGTCAGCTTAATGTGGGGGGAAATCCCGAAGTGATGAAAGTTTCCGACGTTTACTACTTCGGTGAAACCAACGAGCACGGGTATGGTGCTGACAAACCAAGAAACATAATCGGGATTCGAACCCAGTGGAATCATAGATTTCTGGCGTGCCCAAGGGACACAACTCTGCACGGCGAATACCGGCGCCTTAGACGACTGGGCCACCCGTGCCCCCTATATGCAATCAAGCATTTATCGATTAAATTAATATTTTAGCTACCTAGTGTGACTATCTCCCACAGGAGCACCCCGAAGGCCCAGACGTCTGCCTTGTGACTGTGAAACCCCTCCATCAAGGCATCAGGGGACATCCACCGGACAGGGAGAGGCCCCTTAGACGTCCTCTCGTACACATCCACACCCTCTACATCTCTCGCTAGACCGAAGTCCGAGATCTGTCACACACAGTTGTAGCCAACCAGCACGTTTCTAGCAGCGACGTCACGATGCACAATCTGGAACGACATGGTCACAGACATCAAATCACTGTCAAACTACGGTGTGAGGGAGGGTTATTTTACGCCGTAGTCAGCAATAAAGAATAAAGAAGAAAGAAGAAGAAATACAACGAGTAGGAGAAGTTATTTTACGCTGAAGTCAGCAAGAAAGAAGAAGGAGGAGAAGAAGAAGATGAAGAAGAAGGAGAAGAAGAAGAAGAACAACAACAACAACAACAACAACAACAAGGAGGAGGAGAGGAAATCTCACGGCGGTCCGGGCCACCCTAACCAGTGATTGGTATAATGAGCAACGACCTACCGGAACGATAACACGCAATCAACGACATTAATGAGAGTGACAAGCCGATTTAGAGGCCTATTTCCAAAAGCAACAGAGAGTTTGGGGCCCACTCTAGCCCTGGAGAGGTAGTCATTAAAATAAGTCCTTGAAACAACTACCTTTTTCAACCTAGATTTTGATATTTTACTAAAGTCATATTCATAAAGAGACTTCAGGTTTCGCCTAAGGAATTTCTACTGGGCAAGGATAGACTTAACTGCAAAATGTTAACTGTGTCATAGCGACTGATTTATGACTACCATTGTCTGCAGTACATTTGACTTCAAAGATTACAAAGATCACTTTTAAACTGGCACTTAATCAAATTGGCTAGATGATCACTTTCATACCGTCATTGCATAGGTATATTTGTTGCACAAGAATTTCAACGATATCATGAATTCATCTAACTGATTTTGTTCACATTTTGCACTATTGTTTCCGTTGGTGAAAAAGTTCACACATATCAATTAGTACTTGTCAAAGCTTGGGGTCCAAGCTTCACGGAACAGAGGGAAGTTGTCATAGCGACTGATTTATGACTACCATTGTCTGCAGTACATTTGACTTCAAGGGCAAATTACCCTCTAGCCATGTCTCCATAACTTAATTGTCATTACGTTTTAGGCGCTAATCCCCGTTGTTAATCCTCACCAACATTTAATTGTATTTTGACTGTCAGTTAGCCTGGACTACAATATTGCTTCCCTTTAACTTCTGCTTTTATAGTATGGCATTTATTGCCCTAATTGATCATCCCATGAACTGTGTTTGTTAATCACGCCCACATGTCCAATGTCCAAAGCAACGTCGTTGTCTCTTTGTCTGTCCATTGTTGTCCATTACTATATATGTGCTACAATTACACAGTTACTACGGTGTTAGTCAGGCTTGGTATTCTGAGTGCTGGCATAGGGACGACCTCGAGCAGGATATGCTGCTCGTAGGAAACGCCCTGAGGTGAGCTGGAGCTCCGCTCACCTCTTGTACGCCTGAGCTGGAAAGTCCCCTCATCGCTGTGTTTGTGTTGTCATAGCAGGTATTCCGCTCATTGTGCAATTGTTGTTTATTGTTTACATGTTGTGCATAAGCGTTCCGGGACAGTGATGTCGATTTTGTCCTTTATTCCCCCAAGAGCTAATTCCCCGTCAACATACACGTTGACAACTGGTGTTAGAATCCGGCTGGAGAAACTCTTGAGTTTACTCCCGATCCAGTTACCTCTCTATATGCCTACCATCCTAAAGAACAATCATCGACTCAAGCTAGGAAGAGCAAAGAAACAAGATTGAAGAAAACAACAAGAATCTCTCTGATGCCAACTTTCCTGTGAATTCCCCACTCAAGATTTCGTTCATACACAGGACCGAAGAAGTATACACGGCTATCCCAGAGATATCCTGACCACAGCCATCATCATGCAGATCCTGCACCATATAGAAACCGCCTCACGGGCAACTGCAAGATCGACACTGTGTACAAGATATCTCATTGGGGACTTACTAATTTGTGCTTACTTACATGGACTCAATCAAGGATATATACTGTGTGACTGTTGAATAGTGCAACCAGGTATGTTTAATCAAAGCCAGTATATTAATGCCAAAATGTGTCTTTCCAAAATTCAGTTTTGTATACGTGCAATATATTCAAAATTACATTTTTAGTCAAGCTAGATCTTTGAAGTTATTGTGTAGGGAATCTTTGAAATGTCTCCAGGCAACGCCAGACATATAGATACAGCTAGGGCCCAGACAAACCTAAGCTGTAGGGTTACCGAGTCACACCTTAAAGCTCGACTCGTAATTTCAAAAATCTAAACGACAAAATTTGTAATTTGTTCCAAGTTATTAATGTGCACAGTTTTGTACAAAATTGAATGTATTGTCTAGGACTTTGAATTCAGATTAGGGATATTCTTGGGTGAGCCACCCCCACACATATGTTTATTGTATGTCAGTAATTAGTAATTAACAGCACAGCAGTATTTAGCATTTCAGAGTTTTGATGTCGGAATTAAGGATATTTATTTCTTGGGTATCGCACCGGCAATATCTGGGCAAGCTCCGTCAAAGACACGGGAAGAGCACCCATTGTACTTAAAAGGGAAATAGTACCCACAAGTACCGTTTGAGTGGCGCGGTAAAGTTAGACTCCTGGTTTCAAATTTCTTTACGTGAAATATTTGCTGAGATGTTTAATTTGTACTTTTTATGACATTACTCATTATCATTATTCGGTACTGAGTCGCACCGCCAAACCAGACTCCTGAGTTCAAAGAACCTCAATAATATATTTATTGAATCTGTCCAAAGCGGTAATTAACTCGTAGTTAATTTGCACATTACAAAGATCACTTTCAAACTGGCACTTAATCAAATTGGCTAGATGATCACTTTCATACCGTCATTGCATAGGTATATTTGTTGCACAAGAATTTCAACGATATCATGAATTCATCTAACTGATTTTGTTCACATTTTGCACTATTGTTTCCGTTGGTGAAAAAGTTCACACATATCAATTTGGACTTGTCAAAGCTTGGGGTCCAAGCTTCACGGAACAGAGGGAAGTTGTCATAGCGACTGATTTATGACTACCGTTGTCTGCAGTACATTTGACTTCAAGGGCAAATTACCCTCTAGCCATGTCTCCATAACTTAATTGTCATTACGTTTTAGGCGCTAATCCTCGTTGTTAATCCTCACCAACATTTAATTGTATTTTGACTGTCAGTTAGCCTGGACTACCATATCGCTTCCGAGAGAGAGATTTAAGGGATTTTACGACCGCTTCAGCCGTCGGCTATTTCGCAGTCGGGGCCAGGCGGGGTTTAGATAAACAAACAATATTGAGAAATAAAGGTATAATCGACTGGCCCAAAAAACTATAATTAAAAGGAGAAAAGAGCGAAAAGAAAACAGTAAAGTTGGTGAATGGGATAAGAGAGTTTAGCGGAGAGATATGGAGCTGTGAGAAACCTAAACTACTTGGAGATATAGTGGGAGAGACAAGTACTGGTAAAGATCAGTTAGGCTGATATGCTAATATAGTAATATAACTATTTAATAATATAGTTAAAAAGAAGGGGAAGGGAAAAAAACTAATCTACCAGTAAAAATAAAAATAAAAGGGACTCTTTGTTATTTACGGGGGAGGGGGGAGGGGGGGGGGGGGGGTCAGGCGAGAGTGGAGGGGGTGGATGTCGGGAGCGAGTTGGCTGGGCTTGGGTATGTGCCTGGTTAAATGAACATGGTAATGTGTGGCTGGATATGGGAGAATTTGTCGCGCGGACGTCGGAGAAGGCAATCCGCTAGGAATTTGGATCCCGATCCTAAATTGAAGAAATGGTGATTTTGTAGATAGCTATTGTTGACTGGGATTTGTTTGGGATGGTTCTGAAGTCTGTTAATTAGGTTGGTTGATTTTAGGAATTTAGCTATATGGGTATATTTAGAGGGATTATTAGTCGGGTTCAGTAGTAGGCTAATATTGTTTCTGTAATGGGAGGGGGGAGGGGGGAGGGGGGGGGGGGGGGGGGGGGAGAGTTGTATAGTTGGTCTTGTTGGTGTTTGTGTTGTTTGCAATGGTTGAATATGTGGTCAAGATTTTCGGGTATATTGCAATGTGTGCAGTTTGGGTGTGGATGTCTGTTTTGTTTGTGGAGTGTTTCATTTGTATTAATTTGGCCACTGAACATTCTGTTAATAATTTTATCCGTGATGATTGACTTAGTAAAGTTACGACATTTGATGACAGGTTTAGTGAAAAGTGATTTAATCCAGTAAGACTTTGAATTTTGAATATTAATTTGGAAATTTTGACTATTTATGTTTTTTCTAATTATTGATTGGACTTCGGCCTTACTTGTATTGAAATTGATGCAGGGGGATGGGTGTGTGGTGGCTTATTTTGCTGCTGTGTCTGCTAGATGGTTGCCTTGTATTCCTGTGTGTGCAGGTGCCCAGAGTAGTGAAATTGTTTTGTTTGTTGCTGTGATGTTATTGTGGATGTGTATGATATTGTTAATGATGTCTTGACGTGTTTTTGATGTTCTGTTTTGAATTTGGGATAGAGAGCCTAATGAGTCAGAAATAATTAGAAAGTTAGTATCCTTTGATTGTTTAATATAATGGTATGCACATTGAATGGCGAGTAATTCTGCAGTAATAGTGTGTGAGTAATTAGTGTAATGGAAGTTTGTGGTGAAGGGGGCTGGTTGGATGACTTGCATTCCTAGACCTGTAATATTGTTGTTGTTTTGGGAGGCGTCAGTGTAGATATGTGAGTGATTAGGCCAGTTTTGATGTATATATTGGTTTGTTATTTGTAGTTTGTCTTGTTTTGTTAAGTCGGTTTGGGTGGTAAAGAGTTTGTGGAGTGAACAATCAGTGTTAGGAGCCGGTTTGTCATTGATGTAGGTGTGGTTGTGGGGTGAGTGTTTGATATGTTCAAGATTGTGGGTCTTGATAAGTTTGTGCAGATGAGTGATGAATGGTGCTAGGTTATTGTTGTTCTTGAACTTTTTGAGTGTTGCAGGTCTGAGATTTGTGTATTTATCTGTTATTTGTTTGAATATGGGGTTATGTTGGGCCCCAGCCCAGTAATTTAGTGT